TGATAAAATGTGGGGAAGTGGAGAGCACCACAACATTTATATCAATTTTATATTAATGAAATGGCTAAGGTGAAAGCTCAACCATATGATAAACGTACATAGTATCTTCTAACTAATAAAATCACCAACTTCATCGATGTTCTAAATTCTCATAATGTTGATGGTATTGATCTCATCTGTAAATATATATCTTTTATATGACAAAATTGCATGATTTATTTTACTTATATACTTTAATGTCACTTTTAAAATTATTTTGTAAAGACACAATTGGTGCATACAATCCCTCTGGTCCTGTGAATAAGCCCTTAGCGTGCGAAGGCCCTCTTATGCCTTAGTGTAGCTTTCAACCTCATGATATAGAGTTAAGGAAATACTATCTCAAATTCTTAATTTAGTTAATGTATAACTCTAGGAAATATATAGAGTTAGTCTTAAATATTAAATCCACCTCCATAAAATTCATGTAAAGAGAAATTCATAAAGTAATTCTCAAATTCCAAAACCATGTAAGCTTTCAACTCTACAGTCATAATGGCGGTTATATATTAAATAAATCAGAAATTTGTGATAGTATTTGCTTAACTCTATATCATTAAGTTGAAAGCTACATTGGATTGGAGGACCTTCGCACGCTAAAGGCTTCTCCACAAAGGGATTATATGCACCAATTATGTCTTTACACTAATATTAAAAGTGAATTAAATTAAAATATTGAATCATTCAATTTTGTTGTACAAAAGATATATACTTACCATTGAGATCAATACCATCAACATCAAGAAAATTCAGAACATCGATGAAGTTGGTGAATTTATAAGTTGCGAGGGAAAACTACGGATGTTTATCATATGGTTGGGCCTTCACCTTAGCCATTTCATTAAGATAAAATCAATATGAATGTTGTGGTTGTCTCCATTTTCCCACATTTTATCTTAGGGAAGACTGTCGAATAGGTCCTCGAACTTTCATAAAAAAGTCAATTAAGTCCTTCTATAGAAGACTTTGTCCAGTCGTCGCAATTTGGGGCGGTTCCCAGGGGAATTTTTTGATGAAAATTTTTGAGTATCTTATTTATCAAGTCTAGTTTACTCATATCAAATTTCAGCTAAAAATTTAATCAAGAGCACATTTAAATTAATTCGAGAACGCAAAAATGTGCAGTTATCTTCAAGAATTATTTTGAATGTGTTCCCAATTGAATTTTTAGATGGAATTTGGTATGAGTAAACTAGACTTGGTGAATAAGATGCTCAAAAAAATTCATCAAAAAATTCCACCAGGAACTGCCCCAAATCGCGACGGCCGGACAGAACCTCCTAAAGAAGGACTTAATTGACCTTTTTATTAAATTTCGAGGACCTATTTGACAGTTTTCCCTTTATCTTATAATGAATGCATAAAAGCATAAAGTTCACCCTCTTCAATTTAGTCATCGAACACCGGAATGTACTCTTAAGATAAGATTGTTGTTACTTAGGTGTTATAGATAGGGATGAGAATAAAAAGGGGGAATTTGACTATGTGCCCCACTTTTTGGATGATATTGGACTTTGCACTCCATTTTAAAAAAAAAATTGATTTTGCACCCCATTTCACTTCAAAATCCTTTGACTTTGCACCCCATTTAGAAATTTTCCTTCACAATTTTTATATGAATGAGTGCAAAGTCAAAGGTTTTTTAAAATGGGGTGCAAAGTCCAATATCATCCAAAAAGTGGGATGCAAAGTAAAATTCTCCCAATAAAAAAGAGGGTGAGAAAAAGGTGAGGTGCATTAATTTTAATAATAATATAAAGAATGATATTGTAACTAATCATTGAGTTTAATGCATATACATTGGAGGGAAAATGATATTGGAGAGGATTCTCTCTTTGACTATATAAGATTGGAGAGAAAATGACATTGGAGAGGATCCCCCCTTAAGTATGTAAGATAATATTGTGATTACATATATACTCCATACATCCCGCTTAAAGGTTCTCACTTTTGTTATTTGGGTGTCCCATTTAAAGGTTGTCATTCCATTTCAAGAAATAATTTATTTCTTCAATTGCACCTTTACTCAAATTTCTTCTTCTTATTCATTAGATGTCAAGTCTCACAATGCCCCTCCCCGAAGTTATCTCCATTTAATTACTTTCACTATGTTTACATTTTCTAAATTTTCTCTTTCATCTTTTTTTATCCAAATTACTTTATTTAACCACTTGCCTAAAACGTTGTGTTCTTTACTCATGAAACCTTCCAATGGGACGAATGGAGTAAGTGTTATAGATAAGGAGGAGAATACAAAAAAAAAAGTGAGGTGTAAATACATTGGAGGGAAAATGATATTGGAGATTTTATTGATTACTCTATTAATTCACAAATGGGGCTAAACCTAAACATAATTACACAAACAAGAGCTCATGTGGCAGCCGGCAGCATGTGGTGGCAATAGGCCGGTAGTAGGCTTGTATGAGTATTTTAGTCCAAACACACATAATTACTTCTATATAAGAAATTTAAAACAATAGCTCCTAATTTTTGTATTTCACCCATGTTTTCCTCCTATTTGGGGGGGGGGGGTCAGTGTTACACTAATAATGTTTTGAAAGTTTGAAACTAAATATTCCACACATAATTGTGCATTGTTAGTTTGTTACTAGATCATTAATTTGTCACATGCAGTAAGAGGCTGGTCAATCGACTCAAAAATCGCATAAAAATCCAGAAAACTCGAAGAAGTGCCATTATGAGGCATGCACGATCTGATATTGCTCACCTTCTGCACAACGGACAATACCGACTTGCTTTATCCAAGGTCACTTATAAGTTATAACGTTTTGTAGATTTTCATTTTCATGCACTTTATACATAGATTGTATTAAAGTTAGAATATTTCCAGGCTGGACAACTCCATAGAGATCAATGTCGGTTGGCTGCATATAATCAGTTGGAAGAGTTTTGTGACCAAATCATGACAGACTTTAGCAAGCAAAGGTATATTATTTATACCCTTTTAGAGTGAGTTGTATATGTTTGTGGGTACTCTATGTTTGTGCAGTCATTGTTAAGGTACAATCTCAACTAGTGTAATGTTTATGATGTTTTCACTTGGATTTATTTCAATTTTAGACCACAACAAGTTTGATCAGACTACAATAAACTTGAACAGATGTGACATAAATCCAACGTAACTATGCCACACATGCCAATCCACACATGCCAAAACCAGACTTAACCACATTATACTTAAGTGGCACAGACGAGGTCAATATATTAGACCACACCAAACCAATTCACTTATCAGTCCCTAACATTTCAAGTGAAAAATCGTTATTAACGTTAATATCTTAGTCCCTTATTACGAGTTAGAATAATTAATAAATTTGATTTAATCACTTTGTATTGTTCAACCCATGTGTGCTCTTATGATGAGTAGTTTGGCCTAATTTATATTTTGCATCCTATTGTGGTATCTTTTTGTGATAGTAAGTTTTCAGATGAAGCCAAGGATATTGCGTCTAGCATGATATATGCTTCAACTAGGTGTGGTGAGTTGCCAGAGCTACGTTCACTCAGAGATCTTTTCAAACATCATTTCGGACAACCATTCGACAAAACTAATATTGAGTTGCTCCCCGGGAACAGGGTAAACATGCAAATCAAGAAGAATCTATCTAGGGAGCCAATAATGGAAGATGTCATGCTTCAACTAACAAATGATATTGCTAATGAGTACGCAACTTCATTGGATCCTCAATTTAAGGTACAACCATGTAGATATTTAAGACATAGGTTTCTATTGCTTTCAGACTTAAACTAATCACACCATATCTAAAATTTTCAGTCCAAGCTAAGTGCACCTAAGACGAGACATGCAATCATGAGCATATCAATTTTCTTATATACATGAACATGGCTTGATTATCGTTTCATGTTTCTTTGTTATAGTCATTTGCGCATGATATTTATATTGCACCTTGTGAGTCGGAGAAAAGGGAGGAACATTGGGAGTCAATAAATAATGATGCACTCAGCTATAGAAATAAGAGGGCATTGAAGCTACAAGGAATTCTACAAAGGATTAGATCAAACTTTACATCGACAAGAGAGGATGTCACAAGCAATAGTCCAAGAACTTCATCCCTTTCTATTCAAGGGAAGAGAATTGTATCTATTGGTGAAAGAAGAGTAGAGACACATCATGTGGAAGGTCTTTCTAGCAGCTCAAAATCCTACACTCAAAAAGTAAGAGATCAAAGATGTAACTTTTTGACACCTAAAGATGATGTAAGTTATATTCGGAAAGATAGAATAACCTCTAAAGATTCTTATGGAGCCAATGAAGAGAAGAAGACACATATTACTCATGTCCATCCCAAGCTTCCAGACTATGAAACATTAGTAGCCAAATTCATGGATATCAAGAGACAAACCACAAACCAAAACAAGCCACTTACAAGGTGGATGAGGTGGTAGGTCAACTAGAGCACTCACTTCAATCGTGTTAAGATTACATGAAAATGTTACCCTGTCTCTAGCTAAATTATTATGATATCAGTTATTATACATGTTCTCATGGGTACATGACAAATTGTGTCTGTGTCACTACGGATTGGAATAGGCTAGGCACCCTGTTAAGAGCCTGCAACCTGACTTGTTTAAGGCTCAGTCTGGCTTAGATACTCTTAATAGAGCTGCCCTTGAAGTTGTAATTACAAGACAAAGGAAAATCTTCTATTTATAGGCTTAGCAAGTAATCTCATGGATGATTAATATTAACCACATAATCATTATCTCTACTAAGCATAATAATGATTTTCTAGTTATGTTGGTAATGATGATAATGAAGATAGTGAATGTTTAATTATACGATGAAGTATTAATTATATTCCACATTTATATTAAAAATGATAATTTGTTCCTACATCACTTTATAATGACACTTTGTAAACTCTATTGAGTCCATTGTCTAATGTCCTATCCAATGTTTCAGGCATGGTAGTTGGAGTCATGCAATTGGTACTTCATTGATGTTTGTTGAATGACATAAATCTCTCTCTTTCAGCGTAATATGCGCCTAAAATTATAAATGACTTCTATTATAATGAAGTTTGTTGATCAAGAATATCATCTTATGTTATGCCTAAAAGTGTAATATAGTACAATTTAAATGAGAATATCATCTTACGAAAAAATGAAAGTGAATAGAGTACATCATATGTTGATCAAGATGCTATAAATGCTAATGTTACATAAGTTTGTATAAATATTTCGTGAATTTTTGCAAATAGACATAACTGAAGAAATATATAGGCATGTAACCTTGTACCAACGTGAAGAAATATATAGGCATGTAACCTTGTACCAATGTACTTTGGACTCTTAGGTTTAAGAATAGGGTCATTTATCTCCATAAGCCTATTACAATAGAATTGGCTCAGGGCTCATAACTTGGAGGCCTTAGGCTCATTAGCTAACTTCGGGACCAGGAGGTTGGATTCATCTAGAGTAAAAAAAAACACATAGACAAAATTAGAGGTGAGTTCGATTAAGGGCCTGAACCAAAATTTGGAAACAAAAAAATAAAACTGGTATTTTGGTTTTATGAAAATTCAAACTGAATCGATCAATGATTGGGATAAAAAAATCTATTTGAGTTTTGATATTTTGTTTTAATTAAGAAAAATAGTACTTAAAATGTTGTAAGATAACACAACATTCAAAATTCAATGTTACGAGCATACAAAAGACTTAAAACCTTTACAACTTATCATTAACTTATAGGCATACATCAAAGATTTATTAGGTATAAACTTATAGTCCAATCTAGCTATAGCCACACAGAGTGGCCGAGGGGGTATGGTAGGCTCCATGCATCCCTTAAATTTCATATTTTTAAATTATTGGGAACGAGTTGATCCTAGCAATATTAGGGCCTGAGTAAAAAAAAATAAGAGTTTGATAAAATTGAAAAATGTAAATGCATAATATTTACAAACACAAGATTTAAAATATTATACTCTTCTGTTGCAAGTTCTTACACTTTTAACACCATACGTGTCATATAACATGTTGTAATACAACAAAACACCCTAGTATATATTAATGATGATGCTAAACAATTAGTTACAACGGATAATATAATTCAATTTGGGATACTAGAAGCAAACCAACTAATTTAAATAGTTAATCATTTGTCACAACAATAGAAACAAATTGACCTAATTAATTTGTAATTTGTCTTTACATCATTGACAAAGAGATTCCTCTTATCAAAACTAATTCTACATTGGAAGAGTTGTAGTTGTTCATGGTGATCATGATCTTGGGAAAGGTGGTCATCATGAACTCTGCAATACAAATGAAAATGCTTCTAGAAAATATATTGACGGGATACAAATTGGATTTTTTGTACTTGCAACAACTCTTGTCTAGAACTTTTGGTCAGATTTCTTGTTTTGTTAATCGACACTTGATAATAAGTCTGTTTGCTAAAAAAAATTAGTCATTTGTCATAGAATATGAATAACCGAATGGTTTACAAATGCAGTAGAAATTAATAAATAATTGACAACACGTTAATAATAAATAATGTTTATGGTAATTACTAATTCCAAAAATTGACATATTATGATTGGGAGACGTAGATAGTAAATTCGAATTTACTTAGGAAAAACAATTAGATATTAGTAGAGGTGAAATTTTGTCAATGACAATAAAGATATGCATTTATGCCTGCACATTTATAAATTATGGGACCCTGAGTAAATGGTCTTACTTGACTTAAGGTAGGCACGACCCTAATTGGATTAAAAAATCCGTGTAAATAATTTCCAAAATGCATGACTTTATCTCCAACCAAGTGTGCGTACACATGCATGAAATTATGCTAACCCCCCCTGCAGTTAAAGCTGGAGATTGACTGATGTTGAGACTGGAATTGAATTCTTCAAATAAAATTTGGGGAAGACCTTTCGTAAAGATATCCGCAAACTGGTGTCGGGAAGGAATGTGTAGAACGCAAACTTCACCACGGGCAACCTTTTCACGAACAAAATGGATGTCCATTTCAATGTGTTTAGTATGATGATGTTGGACGGGGTTGCTGGTCATGTATACAGAGCTTATATTATCACAATAAACCACTGTTGCTTTCTTAAGTGGGCATTGAACTATTTCAAGGGTGCCAACTGCACCCTCAATACCGGTTTCATGTTGGCACTTTCCAGTATACTTTCCAGTAATTTTGTGAGCCAAATTCCTTGACATGCCCCACTTGTTGCTGCGATATACTCTGCCTCGCATGATGACAGTACAACTATCCTTTGCTTCTGAGATACCCATGTGATAGGGCTGTCATTTAGAAAATACAGGATCTTTGTAGTACTTTTTCCGTCATCTAAATCCTCAGCTAGATCACTGTCACTGTAGCCAATCAAACCCTCACTTGTTTGTTCTCTTTTGTACACACATCCAAAGTCAATTGTCCCTTTAACATATCTCAGGATTTGCTTTACAACATTTAGGTGTGCAGTTGTTGGTGCTTCCATATACCTGCTTACAATGCCCACAGAGTAAGTAAGATCAGGTCTAGTGTTAGTCAAATACCTCAGGCTGCCAATGATACTTCTATAATTTGTTTGATTAATAGTCGGCTCTCCATCATACTTGTTGAGTTTGCTTCTTGGTTCCATTGGAAGACAACATGGGTTGCATTCTGCCATTCCCATCTTCTCTAAGATCTTCTTGGCATAACCTGTCTGACTCAGAGTTATTGTGTTCTTCACTTGCTTCACTTCAATTCCAAAGTAATAGCACAAAAGGGCCAAATCACTCATTTCAAAGTTCTTCATCACTTCATCCTTGATTTCTTGAATTAGTTTGGAACATAATGTGGCCGTTTGGAGAACTCAAAATAGGCTTATAAGCCTGAAAGTAGAAAAAAATCACCAAACACGTGCCAAACAGGCTGTTTTGGCTGATTTTTATGATCAGTCGGAAAAACAAGTGTCTTGCTACTTTTTAAGCTGAAATTCATTATTTTACTGTTGGCTATTGCAAAGACTAATCTGCCCTCTATATCTAGAATATATCTTCCCTTGCTCAAGATTGAAGTGGACGACATAATCACCGGCCTGCTCGCTGCCTCATAGTTTTGAAGCACTTTCGTGATTCAAATTGAAGACTTTTGCTGAGCTGCCCCATATTCACAAAGGCCAGGTAAGCTGCATATGGATCGAAGATCATCTGGATTGAATTGCTATTATGACAGCAGAGTATATTTACGAAGTACTTCGTATATTCTTTTAAGTATATTTCTTTAGCTGAGCTGCTCCATATTCTTCTACTATGTTTCTATGGTAAACAATTGATTCAAGCAAAAAGAAAAAAGCAAAATTCGCCCCATTTATTTAATACAAACAATAATACCCTTTATGGTAATTTTACATTCAATCAGCCAATTCAGCCAACATATTACCAAACACTTTTACATCAGCAGATTCAGTCTTTAAAGCAGATTCAGCCATATCAGCTGTTGCAGCCGCTACCAAACGAGCCCAATTACTCTCATATTTTTTACAAGTTATTCTTCACTGAATGTTTCAATTTATTTTGGGCGCGCATTAGCAAAGTCCTCCCACTTACTTTTTTGTGAATAAAATACCTTCACTCCTTTTTTTAAAAATGTTTAGAAAAAAACGTTTTATCTTTTTTTTCTTCACAAAAATCAAACTAAAATTGATGTAAATTTGGGAAAACATGAAAAGTGTGCAAAACTTACAATCCCTGTAATTTATACGGAGTATGATTATAAAAATGCATATGCATGGTTTCAAATTCAAATCGCGTTTTTCCAATTCGCTGAATACAACTAATTCACTTTCCACCGTGGCGACCAAATGGACTAAAATTGGACTAATTATTTAGCATGCTCTGTTATGTTAAAATCTCATTTATATTAATATTAATGTAATACGAAGTATATTTAAGTATTTAACACTGCTCTAGAAACTGTTTAGTGTATATGTATTTCACTAGAAATCAAGAGGAGGAGAACCACTGTTTTGTAAGATGAGATGATAGATTAGACTTTAGATTTAGGACCACTCAAGAGATTATCAAGTACTAATCAATTAATTAATGGAGGTCGGGCCCACAGTGTATGTTAGCTTTGCAAGTGTAAACACCATCATCCATCTTCGTCTTGTCATATTTGCTTTAGACTTTCAAGGTGGTCCCCACTCATACACTGCCACGAGTCACCATCTGACGCTTGCATACACGTGTCATAACATAACTGGGCTTGGCGACTTGCTTTCAGCTTTTCTTTGTCCTGGAGTGATATACATTCTGTACCATCCTTAATCTAGATGTGAACCAATTACCGCAAATGAATGTGAATCATTCCATGCCGGTACATACAATGAATTTAAAATATGTGCCTAGCTTAGTTAATTAAAACTCTTTGCTTATCCATCAAACAGATAATACAAGCATATAATAGTGACATTTTCCCCACCCATTGCATAATCCCATTTCCCAAATTAAGGCTAGTGAAGTGAAATTTTGTTAAAGGCATTTTGTCATCTTTACTCAGAAAAGAATGCATTTAACGATGGATAGTGAAATTAAAAATTAGTGGCTCTGAAGATAATGATTCCACTATGACAGCGACGTTTTGGTCGCAAAGTCAGCAATTGAGAGAAAAGAGGGGTAATGAGGTTAATCTCTTGCTGTCAACATGTGAATTGTTATATGTTATGTTTTGGACTTAATTAGAATATATAATAACTTAATAAGGATGTTCTTCCGAAATCGGAAAGGTAGTCAAATGATTTTCCGAAATGTACTGCGCTATTTAACTACGCAGTTATCTTCAAAAAATCATTTGATTGTCTTCCCGGTTGAATTTTTAGCTGAAATTTGGTATGGGTAAACTAGACTTAATGAAGAAGATGCTAAAAAAAATTCATCAAAAAATTCCACCGGGAACCGCCTCAATTGATGACGGCCGGGCAGAACATCCTATATAAGGGGCTAATTGAACACTTTAAGTTAGTTCAAGGGTCTATTTGACCCTTTAGCCAACTTTTTTAATGTGTACGGTAGCTCAACTTGTAAAACAGTGGAAAGTGTGAACGAGTGAACAATGATTGAAACTGCAGCAGCCATGTGGAGGAATATGTATTTGCGCGGTAGCTCAACACATATTTTCTATGTGTTGGAAACCTTGCAAAAGTTTATTTTCTCAAGGAAACCTTTGTTAAAGTTTTCTATGTGTTGGAAACCTTGCAAAAGGTTTCTGTCGTACAGTAATACCCTTGTGGAACAATGATTGAAACTACATCAGACAGTCATTCCAACAATCATCAAGAATATCAACATGGCTCCTAGTCTGGAAGGCATACCTGCCGCCGCAGCTGGACTTGCTCTTCTTCTCAGGTTTCAGTTCTTAATTGTGGCCGGTCAACTGAGGACTGGAACCAGCAATCCTTAGAACTGTAACGGGGACCAACCTGCTCACAGTTCTCCTTCAGCAAAATGCAAATACAGCGTTTCAGCAGTCAGTTGTAGTTTGTAACAATGCTTACTCACAATCTATATCTATATATTATTTATACCGTGTGAAATAATTGTTCCCGCCCTAAACATTATGTCACCTACATGAGCAATTCTGGCATCATTTGGAGTACGATTAAGGAAAATCCGGACACCACGTGGCATAGATTGAAGAATGAAGACCAACAAGATGACCCACCAAGTTTAATAACATTATCTAGGCCACATAATTTGTACAATCGATTATTAATAAAGATAGTTCTGGAAGCGTAGACATCTATTTAATTGCCTTTGAAATTATAATTTAATTCAACTTTTCATATGCTAAGAGCATCTCCAATGCTTTTCTTTTGACATTGTTAGGCCATCTCCAACAGTTAACACCATTTTTTACACTAAAATAGTGTAAATATCACATCAAACAGTATTTTATCTCCAACAGTTTACACCATTTTCATCACCAAAAAGGAATATTCTCTTTTTATTCTTTTTACTAACTTTTTACCATTCTTCTATTTAAGTATCTAACTATCATATATTTATACATTAGCCCCTCATTTAATATTTTGACATTTCATACATTATTTCACACATACAAACTAAAATATAACATTTTAATATGTATTTTCACACATTTCACTAATTAAAATACAATAATCAATATTTCACAAATAAAAGCTAAAACCACATAAAATTAAATATTACAATAATATTATAATAATTTATACGTCATTATAATATTATAAATATTGTATGATTTAAATTTTATTATATTTTTTTTTCTATCAAATTAATAATTTTAATTTGTTGTTCTATAAGGATGTTTTTACTTGGACTGTAATTTGTCTCGGGATCAGATCAGACCTGATTAGACCACACTTGGGTAGTTATAAAAATACAAAGAAATCAGACCAAACCACATCATTTCAGATTAGACCAGATCAAATCAGACCAGACCAGACCAGAGCAGACAAACCAATTTCAGTCCAAGTAAAACATCCTAATTTGTTGTTTTAAAAATGGGTCAAAACTATAATAATTAAAACTTGAAGGTTACATTTAAAAGGAAAAGAAATTAAAAAAGTTGGATGGTGTTGAATATGGTGTACGCCATATATAGTGTAAAGCCATCCCTCCTCCCCCATTTTGGTGTAATGGTGTGAAGTTTGGTGCCGTTGTTGGAGTATTTTTTGCCAAATACACCATTTTGGTGTTGAAAATGGTGCTTGTTGGAGATGGCCTTAAACATTTGCCACCTCATGAATTTTAAAAGAGTGATAATAATTCCGTCTCCAATGGATTCTTTTGTGAATTCTTTTATGCTGACATGGAGGAAAAACTTTCGACCCTTCTGTTGGAATTTCCAAAGTGTGTTTAACAGCGTGAGTCAGCCATAATTAAGAACAATACGTTTAATTCCAGAAAAACTTGCACGGAGATGACGAGATTTTAGTGTAACCATGCAAATTTGTTTCTTTTTCATATGGGTTGGAAGTGCGTATAGTAGTAGGCAATTAATGGCTGCCCAAATTTTTAGCTTTTTTGTTCAACTTCTTCTTATAATGTAAAACATTAATATATATTTAATATTATTAACTTCGTGCATTGGAGAACTAATATTTAATACTTGTTATGTGTAATTGATGTGGATAGACATAGTTCTAGATAATTGACATTTGGCAAAATTTTGATTCTTTCAAAAGAAGAGCATTGGAGATGCTCTAACCATGACAAATATTATTGTTTTAGTGATCCGGCTACTGTGAAAAAATATGCTAGACGTGCTCAATTGGGTGAAATTTTTGAATTAGATCGTGCTACTTTGAAATCCGATGGTGTTTTTCGAAGTAGTCCAAGAGGTTGGTTTACTTTTGGGCACGCTTCTTTTGACGAAATAAGGTAGCTAAGTTTTCATCTTATTGCCTTAAAGATGAACTTCACTTTATGTCGTTCATTGGACCCAAGCCCTCGGCGTCGCGCCTTATATAGCGCTCTATCGAACCATCAGCACGCTCCTGATTGCTTGACTTTGCCTCTTTTACTCGCTTCCTTGCCTTTCTTTCGAACAGCCAGCGCCCAAAGGTGCTCTATTGAGCCGGTCACCGTCTGGTGTAGTAGAAGTTGGCAAGTCAGGAAGTAAAGTACGGATGGCTTGGATCCTATCACTTTCCCATGCTTGTTTGTTGGTCAACAACCAACTACCGGTAAGAAAGTCCTCCTTTAGTCCAAGAGAGGAGACAACTCATTTATGATTCAAGCCGAGAAGACAATTATATGTGAAAGCTGGACACCATACGACATGTATTATTCAGGATTAATACTAATGGCGTATACAATTATAGAGTAGATACTGAGTACACACAAATGAATGGACAAATGGAAACTTTAGACTTTAGAGACCCAATGAAAGATGAATGGATAAATGTAAATTGTAAGCTTATGAATTTGTTAGTATTTCATTTAAACTAATAACGAGTATAAAAGATGATGAGATAAAAGATTTTCAACAACCTGTTATTTAGAGACTGCCCACAGAGTCAAGTTTATATAAAAAATGTTAATATAAAAAGCAGATGATGACGTATTCTGTGAGTTAACAATATAACTATATAAGTAGACATCTTAATAATCACTAAAATATAGCACACAAACTTGCAAGGATAGTGGTCATAGTCTAAGATCTCTTTCTGCTAGATTTATATATATATATTAGAAATACACAATACACATGGATATTGTTAAATGCTAAATGTTTCAACGATTGACAAGAAATCAAAAGTTGATTACAAACATGACACAATTCCAAATTTCCAAAAGCAATCACTTGCAATGAGCAATCTTATTTGGTATTTTCAAGCATTGCTTTTGCTCTTCTAGCAGAAATAAAACTCGTTGGAGCAGAATGTAGGGAATTTCCACCATCTTTCTTGGAAGTTGCTAAGAGACATCTCACACCTTCTTGGAAGGAGGTCTCCAACATATGAACATGGAAGGAGATTATTTGGAGATAGCTAGGAAGCTCCCTAGCCATGTGAATGGGAAGCTTGGATACAACTTCCTCTTGTCTCCAAACTAGTCCTATAAATAGAGTGCTCCATGTTGTTCATTAGTATCAGTTTAGAAAGTGAGAAAAGTGTGTGAAGAGTGAAATACACTTAGAATAGAAGTGTATTGGTGAGGATTGGTTTTTTGTAATAGTTGAGTGTGAGAGTTTGCTCCTCCTATTGTAATTCTGTTCTTGATATTGAATAGAAGAATTTTCCAATCCCAACAAGTGGTATCAGAGCGAGGTTGAGTTTTCATACACTGTTTTCTCATTTTCAGATAAATTTCTACAGGTTAGAAAATCGTGATTTTTCAAGTTGCTCGGAATCACGATCTGATCATACCGTTAGATTCGTCCCGTCGAGACGAGAAATCTGGTATTTTTAGGGAATTTTTTGGCCACCAGAAGAGGCCGTACGCGCCGCCCAAACGCGCTGGAAAACTGCCTGCGTCATCATTGCGTCATCACGCAGTCCAGAGGAAGAAGACGAGCCACGTCATCCGCCACGTCAGCCGTGCAAGCCATCCTCTGGGTGCCACGTCAGCGCCACGTCAGTGACACGTGGCGCCACGTCAGCGCCAGCTGTTGCCACGTCATCCGCCTGCTGGTCTGCTCACTGGGCTGCTGCCTGAACCGGACCGAACCGGTTCGTACTTGTGGAGGCCGGTTCACCCATTTTCAGACCGGTTTTGGACGAGGTCAGACCGGTTCCTACCATTTTCGGCCATTCCGGATCCAACGGTGAGCTCCGTTTGTCCAAATTCGGCTCCGAAAATAAGGTACGAGATATTTTGAGCGTTTTATTCTGGATAAATCATCATCGGACATCATGATTGCGCTCACTTCCAGAAATTACAATATGTGGAAGCCTTGGATGGAGGATTTGTTAAATTTGAGGGATTTAGCTGATCCTCTTGATAATAATGGCGTGAAACCGGATAAAAAGACGGATGAAAAATGGACAAAAATGAATAGAAAAACTGTCGCACAAATTCGGCAGTGGATCGATCATAGTGTGTTCCACCATGTTGCGCAAGAACAAAGTGCTTACTCACTATGGGAGAAGCTTGGTAGCATGTATCAAGCAAAAACCGCCCGAAATAAGACGTTACTAATGAGGAGATTAGTAAACCACAAGTTACGAGGAGGTATTTCGGTGTCAGAACACACCAGTCAATTCCAGGATCTTGTGAATCAGTTGAGCACCACAGGATGGGTTCTCAAAGATGAAGAGCAGGCGATACTACTCTTGAGCTCTCTACCTGACAGCTAGGGCTGAGCAAAACCCGATCCGACCCGAAAAACCCGATATTTTTTTCGGATATTATCCGAACCGAAGTGGATATCCGACCCGAAAAACCCGAAACCGAAAATCCGATTAATATTGGGCCTAGATCGGGTGGCGGGTAGGGTTTGTAAAATCCCAACCCGACCCGCCCGAATATCCGAAATATATGTTAGTGTGTACTTTGAATATGGTAAATTAATACTTGCATCCAATTATTTGTGTAATTAATCTAATTATATTGTGCAATTTGTATTAAATTATTTGTGTAAATTGAAGGTGTAGTGCACTAGTGTGTATAATTTTTGTCAAAGTTGCATTCCCAACACTTTAGTTATCCAATTATAATGTGTTTTAATATAACCGAAATATCCGAAGTATATTAAATTATGTAGTGTGTACTTTGAATATGTTAAATTAATATTTTTGTTCAATTATTTGTGTAATTATTTGTGCAATTTGTGTTAAATTATTTGTGTAATTTGGATGTTTAGTGCACTAGTGTGTACAATTTTTGTCAAAGTGAAATTTAAACACTTTAATTATTCAATTATATATTTTTTTAATATAACCGAAATATCCGAAACCCGACCCGATATCCGATATTATCCGACTTAAAAATATCCGAAATACCCGATCTGAAATATCAAAGAGTCGGGCCTAGTATTTAAATTAAAAAACCCGAACGGGTTTAGGGTTCGCAAACCCGACCCGCCCGAACCCGACCCGTGCACCGCCCTACTGACAGCTGGGAGACTCTTGTTGTCACTCTCAGCAATTCTGCTCTCAATGGCAAAGTGACTATGCAGATGGTCACAGATGCCCTTATGAACGAAGAAGCCCGAAGAAAAGAAGCCGGGACTGAACAATCATATGCCTTCGTGTCAGAAACCGGCAGACGAGGGGGAGGCAGAAATGGAGGAAGAAGTCGAGGTCGAGGTAGAGGCCAAGGTCAAAACAGAGGAAATTCTCAAGTTCGCGGCCGATCACAAGAACGAGGTATGTCCTGTGAAAACAATACTTGGTTTGAAGGATATTGCAATTACTGTAGTAATTATGGGCATAGAAAAAGAGATTGTAGAAAGTTTCTACGAGAGCAGCCACAGACGAGTCAAAATACTAGCCAAGAAGATGGTGTGACTATGGTTAGTTTTTCATCAGATGCGTGTCTTGTTACACATGGTGAACAAGAATGTTTACATGTAGGTACTCATGATGTTGAGTGGGTGATTGATACAGCCGCATCATTTCACGCCACTCCACACCAGAACTTATTCACATCTTATAAGTCAGGAGACTTTGGAGTTGTGAAGATGGGAAACACGAGTTTCTCGAAGATTGTTGGCATTGGTGATGTGCACATAACAACCAATGTCGGATGCGCACTTGTGTTGAAAGATGTTCGACACGTTCCGGATCTTAGATTGAATCTTATCTCCGGTACAGCTCTGGATCAACAAGGATATCTTAACAGATTCAAAGAAGGTACGTGGAAGTTATCTAAGAGCCCGTTTGGTAGCACCAAAATCGGCTGTTTTGGCTGATTCTGCTGAAATTTATGATATTCTGGCTGGAGTGGCTGTTTTGGCTGATTCTGCTGATTTAAGAAAAAAATATTTTAAAAATATATTTTATTAATAAATTAAAGAAAAAATTATATGTAAAAATAGCTAAAATGGTCCTCTACAGTAACTTCAGCCAATACAGCCAGAAAAGTAACTCCAACCTTACTTTTTCGGCTTATTACACAATTCAGCGCGCGAAAGTAAAAGTTACGTGTTTGGTGAAAAAGCTGGCTGATAAGCCTGATAAGCCGAAAACAGAGTTCTCCAAACGGGCTCTAAATGTTCCTTGGTTGTTGCAAGAGGCCATATTTGTGGTACTCTGTATAAAACTCATGCAAAGTTGTGTCATCCGAGTCTCAATGCTGTTGAAGAAGAGATATCACCAAACTTGTGGCACCGGAGGTTAAGCCACTTAAGCGTGAAGGGATTGACAACTCTTGCTAGGAAGGAAAGGATTTCCATGGGCAAAGGTGTTGCCTTAGATCCATGCGAGCACTGTCTATTCGGGAAACACACAGGGTTTCCTTCAGCTCTACAAGGAAGAACCATTCAGAGTTACTCAGTCTTGTACACTCTGATGTATGCGGACCCATTGAAGAGGAGTCACTTGGAGGAAGCAGATACTTCGTGACATTCATTGATGATGCATCACGAAAGGTATGGGCTTACTGTTTAAAGAGTAAGGATCAAGTGTTTGATCGCTTCAGATTATTTCATGCCATGGTAGAAAGAGAAACAGGGAAGAAGCTGAAGTGTCTACGTTCAGACAATGGAGGAGAGTACACTTCCCGGGAGTTCTCATCATATTGCGCCGCATATGGAATCAGACATGAGAAGACGGTTCCACGAACTCCGCAACACAATAGTGTAACTGAAAGAATGAATCGGACCATTATGGAGAAAGTTCGTTGCATGCTGAGTATGGCTAAATTACCTAAGCCATTCTGGGGCGAAGCTGTGCTGACAGCTTGTTATCTTATAAACAGGTCACCTTCTGTTCCTTTAAACTTTGAAGTGCCAGAGAAGAAATGGTCAAGAAGAGATGTTTCTTACTCTCACTTGAAAGTGTTTGGGTGCAAGGCATTTGCACATGTGTCCAAGGAGTTGAGACAGAAGCTTGATCTCAAGTCAAACCCATGCATCTTCATCGGGTATGGTGATGAAGAATTCGGATACCGGTTGTGGGATCCCGAAGTGAAGAAAGTTGTACGAAGCAGAGATGTTGTATTTCATGAAAACGAGTTTCATGGGTGTGCTCCAATAATCCGCCAACAACATACTCCAGAAGATGAAGTGTCTGTATCATCAAACATTCCTCTCAGCGACGAGGAGATGCATGATACTACTGAACAAGAGAGTGATGGTTCAGTAGGTGATGATGATACTCACAGTGATGATATTCCTCAGCAGGGGGAGCCTTCATCTGAAGACGAAGCTGAAGGTACTCATGTTCGACGTTCTATGCGAGACATAGTTCCACAGAGAAAGTATTACACATCCGAATGGATACTTGTCAGCGAGGGGGAGCCAGCGAGCATCACAGGAACGAGAGAAATAAAGAAAAAGGTGGAGGGGGAGATTTGTAGGGAATTTCCACCATCTTTCTTGGAAGTTGCTAAGAGACATCTCACACCTTCTTGGAAGGAGGTCTCCAACATATGAACATGGAAGGAGATTATTTGGAGATAGTTAGGAAGCTCCCTAGCCATGTGAATGGGAAGCTTGGATGCAACTTTCTCTTGTCTCCAAACTAGTCCTATAAATAGAGTGCTCCATGTTGTTCATTAGTATCAGTTTAGAAAGTGAGAAAAGTGTGTGAAGAGTGAAATACACTTAGAGTAGAAGTGTATTGGTGAGGATTGGTTTTTTTTAATAGTTGAGTGTGAGAGTTTGCTCCTCCTATTGTAATTCTGTTCTTGATATTGAATAGAAGAATTTTCCAATCCCAACACAGAATAGAGATGCAGATTCATGAGGGTGCTTTAACTTCACTTATACAATTATCTTTTCAAATACAATTTGGATGTACAATAAAAACAGGGTGCTTGAGCTTCACCTATACATTTACCGCCTATCATTACAATACATACATATTTATAGTTAACCGAAAAACATATGTATAGATGGTTTTCCTATAGCTAGATAATTTTCCCGTAAGAAGTTAATTTTATCAGCTTATCTAATTACTAAGAATGAACAAAATAAACTAAAAGATTATGTAACTACTTCAAATCGTGAACCAAGTGTAAAAAAGCTTAAGTGTTTTCACCTATTTGATGCAATTATCAAGCACTACCTTTATAAATATTTTAGGTTACTGAAAAAGACCCCATTACCAAGGACCTTGTTGGATTTTAAGTTCATGATTAATTCCCCTGCAAGGATGGACCGCTGGAAATTAGAAAATGGAAGCCAGGACAACTTACACAACATAATCTCTTCAATAGTAACAATTTCAAATTGAAAATTATTAATAAGAAATCCTAATTTAAGAAAAGATTGATTATTTGCGAAACTTCATATAGGAGAAGTTCAGTAGATGAAACCTGCTGTGGAGACTTCTTCCTCTGATGGTAATCGCAGGTCCGCAGGAGAGACGAAGACAGGTCGGGATTTAGGGTCTCCGCTGAAAATTGAAATCAACACATTAGCTTCTTCGACGGGAATAGTAGCTCCAGGGAGATTTAGGAAAAATAATGAAGTGCCGCTGCAAATGAAAACTGCTATCGGAGATTCTTCGACGGGATTCGCATCTCTTGGGATAGAGAGGATGGACTGCGACCGGAGCGGCTTCCACGGCTGAAATCGTAGTTCCAGGGGAGAGGAAGGCGAATGATTCTAGGTTTTACGCCCAGAATTAAGTTCAGCACCATTATTACTTCACAATTAGCAGTTACGGAGTAGATGCAATCGACGCTGCTCGATTATCTAACGTCAGTTCAGCGCTAACCGTCCTAATACACTTAAAAAGGCGAGAGAAAAAGTACCCTTCATACGTCAAAGGAAAACTGAAATTAGAAAGGATGAATCTAAAACAGAACTCCCACCTCCGACTTCAGATAAGGATGCTGTACAGACAAAATAATGGCCTACGGTCGACTTCCGAGCTACAGAAGATACATATTTTGTTTAAGAAGTATGGAGGAAAGTGTCACTTTGGTACCCCAAGTTGGAGCCGAGGGAGTAAAGAATACCTCTAATGATCCAGACGTACATGAAATAGCCAAAACGGGTCTAATTTGGTCCACTCCTTCATTAGGAAGTTTAAAACGCTGATATGGCCAACATATTAGTGACATGGAAAAAATTAAACCAACTCATCGCCGGACTGGATGTGGCCAACGGACTGGATGTGCTGCACTCCGGTAGGACAGTAACCGGACATAGAGTAGCTACAGGCGGTTCCAACCCCAGCAAGCCGGAGGTCTTCCCTGGCGAATTCCTAATCGCTTTCAGTGGAAAAGAACACTTAAACCAATTCACCGTCAAAGAAAGCCAAACGAGAGGCTCTATAATCACACCAGCCCCCCGGTCATCTTCTCCGGCCAAATTTATCCAAATCAACCACGACCACACATAAAGTCTCGAATAATCCTCAGTCCCCCAGCGAATCAAACAGTATTCAAAACCAAGTCACACATACCTCAAGCCGTAGCATTGAAGAAGAAGAAGACCTCATTAGACCAACGAAAACCAATCTACAGGGGGAAGGGTAGACACCAACTCTAGTCACCGGTGGCGATGACTCCAACCCCCACACCTTGGCCAAGCACAGGGACTGTACCGCATCATGAAAGGGGAGGCGACCCGGTA